CCGCCAGCAACTAGCTGAAATAATCGCGCATTAGCCGAGTTTTCGCCGCGAGGAAACTGCTTCCGCGCGATGCTTTTCTTCGAATCGAGCGGCGACCGACAAGAGGCTCTGAATTGGCTGGCGATTTATCGCACTGCATTATTTAACCCGCCATTGCCAGCTGCGCTCGCGTTTCTCCAAACGTTCCTTTTCTGTGGTTCGCGTACCTATGACCGCGATGTATGAGTTGTAAATATTAATTAGTCTACTCGACGTCACTATGGAGTATATTCGTGATTCTTTTCTTCAAAGTTTGTCAGCTTTCCTACTTGCTGTACTATTCTCGTTGGAAACGTGATATTAAATTTCAGGCAATTTTAATTCAATGGCGAAACGCCGTTGGAAAGATACGCTAAAAGTTATATCATTTTTTATAGTAACGAACCGAGGGCATGGAACAACGTGAATGAACGTCGTAGCTCGTCGCGATCGCTCGTTCGAAAAGTATTTCAGGTAGAAAAGACCTCAAATAGACACCGAGCTACGGATTCGCCTTGAAACGACGTGCCGAACGGAACAGGGAAGTTAAACGAAGCGAATAAAAGAATTAGACCAGGAAAATTGAATTCAGCCGGCTGGAGAGACGGGGATCGAAGTGGTTGAACACACAAAAGCCGGATCCTGAAACGGTAAATGTATCAAGAAGCGTACATCTTTAATCAACTTCGATTCGTTTCGTCGAGCGTTACTTTTATCGTACCTATTCTCCTTTATCAACTACGATAACAAAGCAACGAGTGTCGAATGTACTCTCTACAAATAGGTTCGATACCACTGATATCGGCGTTACATCGACGAGATCGATCGCTCATGAAGACGTTAGACCAACTCCGATTCCTTCTACCTTATTATCATACAGCGCGAAGGAAGCTCGGTTCGTTTGTGCTGTTACCAACGACCCTACAAGATGGAAGGGAAAAGTTAAACCATGCGAATAAAAGAATTGAACTGTTAGATTAGGAGAGAGGGAGCAAACCAGGAAGAGGGTAAGAAGCTGTACGAAAGGGGTATAAGGGAAAGAAATCGAGCGCTAAGGATCCGGTGTTCGCCTGGTCGCCTAGCTGGTCTGGATGATCGTGGTTGTTCTGCTTCTAAGATTACGATCATAACGAAAATCTTCTCGTTCCCATTGGCCGTCAAGTTTCTCCTCCGTCTTCCTCTTTTTCGCTCTACATGAGTTCTGTCGTCCATTCGATCCTTTCTTCTCGCTCTACGTCCCTTCCCTGTTCCCCTCTTTTTTCTTCCCATGACGTCGCTCTGTGTGTATGAGAGCGTCCGGCGACGGCTGCATCGCATAGAGCATTGCGAGCGGCACGGCATGCATTATGGAACGAGCAGGCAACGATTCTACCGGAAAAATTGCGGACACGCGAGACGAACGCGATCTGCAGCCTGACTACCTACCTACGTAGATATGTACCTAAGCACCGACCCACCACTACTCTCGGTTATCCCGCTCTGTAGTCGCCGGAGAAGATTGCTTTCCTATATTGCATCCACCACCCCATCCCTTTACGCAGATATGCGCACGTTACGGCAGCTTTCCATTTCAGAAAAAACGCGGTTCCTTCGTTGTTAATGTCGAACGATGTGTGACACGACAATAAGGAGCCACCATTTCATCAAGTTAAATGATTTGCCGACAAAGAGCGATAATTTAGATAGAATTTTGCATTGTGCCGTTTTGATTGGTACAATTTTTGCTCGTCTGGTTCGTTTCGTTTCGATTAGATCACAACTCGTTCGATCAGAGTTCGATTAGACTTTAATAATAAGCAGGAAGCGATGGTATTTTTCATTTCAATTTCGTCGCACCAATTGAATGTTAATAAGTATCGATCACAAAGCAACCGATTTAAACCGCAATGTGTCGTGTATGCAATGAACATTAAACGATCGGCGGTCCAACAACATACATTAATCATAACGAATGGCACAGTCAGTCGACTGTAATCAAACGGTCGAGCGAACAGACATCGTACAGAACTTCTATCGTAGTTATTGCTTTTAAGGTGAATTTAATTAACCTCGCTTAACCGCTTACTTATTTTCCACACCGAGTTCGCCTCGCTCTTGTTGCGGCGAGTTCCACCGTACCTCGGAGATAAGATAAAATCTTTCGTGGACCAGTTAAGAATCTATTATTTCGATCCTAGCGAATCTTCTTCCTCCAAACCTTCGCACGAGGCCGAGATTATAATCAATTTTCATCGGTGAGCAGAGTGCACAAGAAAGGTGAAACTGCTGTCATTAATCGCAAAGGTTAATTATAAAAAGAAAAGCATCTGTCTACGAGAGGGGCTGACAGTGATGCAGCGCGAATCCGAGTGAATTTGTCGTCGACGGGAAATTCCGCGCGAAGTAGCCTGCAAGCGATGATGGAAACGCGAACGAAGACGATGTGGGCGCGGAAAGCCGTTATAAAAGAAATAGTCGACGACAAATGTACAAATGAGGACGAGGCAGGAAGAGGACAGAGTTGAAGCGTTCGCGTGGTTGCTCGTGCAACGTTGGCTGTCCCGCTCGCGTCGTGGAAAAGCCACGCGAGAAAAGCGTACAAAGAAAGAAAAAAAGAAACGAACGAACGAGCGTCCACCTCCCTCCGCGTTAGATTATGGCCCTGATGTTATGAAGAACCGAGTAAAGTGACAGCCGCGTAATGCTGATGAAAGGGAGGATAACAGCGTAATCCCCTTGAGTCCGGTTTTCGAAGAGAGTTTTCGTCAACAGATGCAGCAGGACGTTTTAAATTTAACAGTACTTGAAAATAAACTGTGCGCCCGACCCCATCCTCCGAAAATTCTATGCACGTTCTCTTTGTGGCTCTTGTAGAAAAATTAAACCGGTTCACAACGTTTACCGGTGAAAATTCTCTTCGTCGTATCTACAGTCGCGCGATGTTTGCCTTGTTAGTTTATCGAGCTTTAGACTTTCAGGGGCAGGATGATGTTTTCTAACCCGTGTACCGTTTGGACGAAGCGTAGCTGGATATGTCAGCTGAATCTACGTCCTTTACGTTTTACTTGGAAATCGAGGAAGAACTTTCGACCGCCGTTTTCTCTAGCTGTATACGTATGTATGTACGTACATAGGTTCTTTCTATTCATTTTATCAAACGTCGCTCGTATCCATCGTGATTCCCGTTAAGTCTCGTTTGCTTGGATTTGAAAAAGTTATCTGTCCCATCGGACGGTACAGGATACAAGCTCGAAAAATACCGTTTCGATAAACACAATACATCATGGGCCAGTGACTGAAAATCGTGCAAGATAATCGGTCCTCGGAAAAATAAAACGACAGAGTGTCGTACAAAATGACGAGCACGCGTAATGACAGGCCGCTGGCCTCAGTTGGTAAGATTGATAACTATGCAATGCACCGATCGAAACGAGAAACCCATTACTTATCTTCGGAAGAACTATCATTATGCGAGTTCTCTTGCACACACGGTCCTGGTATTCCAAGTGATCTGTGGAACGCTTGACGCACCGGGATCGGTAGCATAGGAGTAATTAGTCGAAATTATTCCAAGTCAACGTTCGTGGAATGAATGTAATTTTGTTAGAACGCACTCGGTGAAAATGATCGTCTCGCGAAACCATCGTTTCCAATTCAAGATGCGCTATGCATACCTAAGAAATAATGATAATTGCGTTTCTCCGTTATTTTGCTGGCGCATTATACACAAAGTTGTCTGTTGGAACGTCGATAATTTCGAGTATTTAGAGTTTAAGAACGAAAGCTCGCGCACGAAGAAACTCGAGCTACCGTCTGACAACGATCGCGAAGGAAATAACGTGACGCTCTTAAGGACACTTACCTGAAGATGGAGCTGTCCGTTGTTGTCTACCCATCCAATGACCATGTCAGCTCCAACGCTGCCGTCATCCCTCGTGAAACCCAGACCCACGTAGCCGAGAGTCTTCACTTGAATCTCGAACATCACATCTCTTTCGCCAGGCGTCCAAAGAACTAAGAAGTTATTGTCCAGGACGGCACTGTGTTTCCACTCGACGGAGAGGACGCCGTTGACGAAGAGGAGGAGACACGTAGCGATTACGGCCTTCATCTTTTACAACCGATGCGCCTCAGAACATCTGTAATCAAAGAAAAATGCTCTATCGTTAACCATGCGTTCTTCTTCAATTTCATTAAATTCTATAAAGTCCGAAACTTTTTTAATCATAAAATTAAAAATTACTGAAGATAAATCAATTTCGGTTTGGTTAATTTAAATTCTTGTAAATGTAAGTACGACATAATTTGTTGTTATTGCGAGACAGGAAGTCTTCAGGCAAAGAGATTATTACATTCAAGAGATACGTTCCCCGGGTTAAAAGGTTAAATACAAAACGAAATATTCAGATTTTCACATATTTGCGTAAAGCATCTCTCACATTCCATCGTTATAACCTGCCAATGTGCGAGGTAACAAACCCCATTCTTCAGCTTCCGCTACGTCTCGCAACCCCGTAATTACAAGTGCTTCGAGTCCTTACGCGGAAAAGCGCTCGCCGCTAAAACGACGTAGTCGCGTTTCTTTCTCGCCGCTCGTTAATCATCGCCATTTCTGTACGACCTAACAAAGTAGCGGAAGAGCGTTGCGCGTATCGATGCCTCTCGTCCCATCGACATCGAGCGAAGACCCGGTAACTCGTGTTTCCACGTCAGCGTTCGATCGTTAGCCTGCTATTTAGGCGTTTTATGCGGTCGTAGACGGCTCGGTTATATTTTCCTTCAATATTTTAAGAGCAGTGGCTCGCCATTAACCGCGTAACCAACACACGGACCAAGCCGCTTGGTTCTAAAGCGTAAACGACTCGAAGCCACATATAACAGTTGGCCACCGGTGCCGCTCGATTCCTCCTATTTCGCATGCGACTCACTCTATCGCGCTTAAGTGCGCCCCCCGTGTGTACTTTCGTCCCGGTATTTTCACTCGTTTCCCACGTAAAATCGTATTAGCCTCTTTATCCCTCGACTTCCCTCGAACCGCGCTCCTCCACTTGGCCTCGATGAAGATGCGCTCCCGTTACGAAAGACGACGAAAACAACGCGAGCTACGCTGGGAAAATTTCTGGCTGGTGTAGTTAAAAGGACTCCACGTAGCCAGAGTGAGAGACAACCAGATTGATTTATTTCGTCAATGGTCCTAATAGGATCCTAACTCCTAATACGTGCTCACGTTAAACTGCAAGATTAATCGTCGACTCGATTCGCGAACGATGATTGATGTCGACCTTAATTCGCGATAAAAGCGACTTGACTTATCAAGAATCAAAACCGATATCACCGGTGTTATTCTTGCGTCGATTTGCGAACTCTCGGGCATTGATCTAGCTGGCTATCAATTTCACTTTATTGCCGGCACAAAGAGTACTCGTATAGATGGAGATAGGTATATAACGTAATTAACGTCGCGGAATGGATGAATGGTAAACGCGCGGACAAAGAAAGAGTTTCTCGCGTACGATCGAACGAGGGAAAGCAGAACGAGGTAGAACGAGGCCACGAGAGCTCGTCGATGCGCCATTTGCGCACCGCGTTCGCGGCAATCAAGCAAGACGAGCGCGGCAGTGAATTCGCCCGACGAAAGAAAAAGTCTATTCGTGACCGCATGGATTAAGCGAACGACGTACACGTTCACCCGTGCACGGAACTGCGCATCGCGAGCACGAACGAGCAAAAACGAAAACGACAGTGAAGGAAGCAGCAAAAGCAGAGCCGGCAGCAAAGATAGTGCCGGTATGGAAAATAAAAAAAATTCCTAACCATCGTCCATAATGGTGACGATGAAAACACACGAGCAAAACCGAGCGTAAAGGAAATAGAATTGATTCCATTGTCGATTAAAAATTCAATGGGTACGCGTGTATGCAGGTGAATGGTCGACGATGGTTTTTGGCGAATCGTCGCTAGAAACGGCTGGCCGATTCGGAAAGGGGTGGAAAAACAGATGGCCGGCCGGCGAAATCTCTTTTGTTCGAGCTTGGTGTGCAAACATCCGCTGGTAAATCAGCAGGACACTGTCAAGAGAACTGTCAATTCGAAAGCAATCGAATCGATTAATAGTAACAATCGCGTGACGCTTGAACGGACCGATGGAAATCCGGGGGACGCGAACGACGCAGTTACCAAGTGTCAGACGAGTGGGCTCCGCTCCATTGAACTATTCGTTTCTATGCATGCGGTTGGGAAAAGCGGAGAATTAAGCGTTTCACAGAGATCACCGCATCGGTGGAACACACGAATGATTTTGCGCGCGTCTCTCGCTGTCCCGTTTGTCTGGAAAACACGCGTGATGCGAGCCACTGGTCGCTTGCACCGCTTCGACCACGTGTTCCGCGCAATTTCAGGCACCGCGGTCGTCCCGCGAATCTGCGACCGATCGTTTTAATTAACGACGAAATAGTGGCTGTAACGCATGCCCGTTCAAGCAACGTAGACACGCACGATGTCGAACCGGTAATTTTCCGCGTCGTAATCAGAATCGATAGTCGTTCTCTCCTCTCTTACGTGTCTGATTCACGACAATGGCTTTTTTACCGTCCGTTAAAATCTAACGGACGTAATCCCGACGGTACTATCTCCGAATCGTTAGGGTGAATTCAAAATAATTCGACCCCCTATCTGTTCACGGTAATTTGGAAATTCGAACGAGGTAGAGAAATCATACGATTTTTCACACGATACTCGTAATTCGAATCGCGCCGTTTGCATTTTCATATTTTTCCAAACATTCTATTACGCGATAGGTAAATCTTTAATTGAATAATATTAAACGGTTGAAACACGTATTTCTCCGATACGTTTTGTAACGAAATCGAATCGATCGTTTCACGCCGATTATGTAACGAGGCTTGATTGTTCGGGATTAAAGTGAAATTTGACTTTTATAATTTACAAAATCTGGATTTAAACGCTTTATGCATCGTTTTATTTTCGCGAACACGTAAAATATACGCAGAATGCGCGTGTTATTTTAACGAAATGGGAACGCAATATTTATTATGGAACTATGTGATCGATAATATCGTTTCTGCTTGTTCTTGATGAGTGGAACGCGAAACAAAATATCTGAAAATGTGAATTCTCGATTTGAAAACAACGGTATCGTCGACCTGAAACTGGGTCGAGCAACGAAGTAATTTGCGAGGATTGTACACGGTCTCCTAAAACATAATCGTTTCAGGCGCTACACACGGCCTCGAGAAACTTCGATCTCAAGGCCCGAGACCTCTAATAAGGTCATACAAATAGTCAAAGTTCGTCCCATAATGAAACTACGCCGCGGAAACTGTGCGGAATTTCGGGCGCTCGTCAACCGGTTTGTTTCGTGACCGTCCAATTCTTCATAATTGCTTCTTTAGCAACTGAACACATTTCAAGCGCAAAGCTTGCCGCGAACAACACAAATCCATTAACCAAATTGGCAAGCAAATACATGTAATTTACTTTTATTCGAGTCCTCTATCTTCGATGGGAAAAGAACATAGAGAGTTTTCATTCGCAGAAAAACATCGATCCATCGAATCGTTGGGTTCGCGATATGGACAAATCATTGTAATTTATCAAAAACGAGATCAACCGTGACGGGACAGGTTGATCTGCGTCACGACCTGTTTTCGTAGAGAAGCTAACGCAAATAGGAAAGCAGATAACGCGCGTTAGGTCGAACCGTTATCCGATTCCTCGAACCGATGCGACGTCCAATAGATACACCGAATTTGCGGATCGCTCCACTATACGGTTCCGTGTAGGACGCGACGCGACGATTGGTCCCGGTGATCGGTTCGCGCCCATCACACCATCAGGAATTCTCGCTGATGCATGCAGCATGCGCAACGTGAGTTCGTCGATTTTACGGTGCTAGTAGAGCAACCGCCAATCTGAAAACGATCGATTCAATTAACAGTAACAGCGGTGTAATGTGCGCCGGATGTGAGGTGATGCATCGGCAGGAGCAGCTGTCGCGCGGCAACTCGAATCGCTCGA